TCCGAGAGACGAAGTAAAGTAAATTCGAGAAACGAACTGAATTAAACCTCGCATAAAAGGGGGAAGGGGAACTGAAGAGAAAATCGGACGCTAAATGGCAGAGATCGATTATGCCAAATCAAGAGATTGACGAACCGAGTCGGTACGCTCCGAGACGGTTGCACTTTAAACTTTGAACTCTTGGATCATGCCCGTAATGGTGTATAGCACGTAGTAGCCCTGGTGAGCGGAAATCGAAAACCAAAAAAACAGTGTCCTTTATAAAAAAAGTTGATCGAACAGTGGTGCACCAAAGCGGTTCTTCTGAAGACCCTGTATGGTCATTCTATCGTCGTATCCCGAAATGGACAAAAATGGTTCCTTGTTAGACAATCTATACCAATTCTAATACTTTGGTGCTCGATATTCCTGAACGTTTAAACTGAAGGAAGTTATTTTGTAGACTCAGATGGGATTGCGAGCAGATTAATCTTTCATTCTTTTATGTAGACTCCGATCTGGAAACCTCGGTACCCCACGTGGAAAGCGCTGTCAGATCTGTGAAGAGCAGAGCTGCCTTGATCGTCATAGAGTCTCATACCCTTCCTGGCTAAGCGGAGGACTTCACAACCTGATCAGCACCAACGGTATCTCCTTTTGTCCGATCATTCTTCTTCGACAGTCATCGGGGAAGTGATGGGGGAAGATGAATGAGGAATCTGCTCACGCCTGGCGTAGTTGAGAATGTTGCCCAACAACCGACAGCCATTGACGGAGGCCTAAGGTCTAAAACTTCAGATTGTTTCAGTTTCTTCACAGAGTTATAGAAACAAAATTCTATCGTGTAATCATGGCTCCCCCAAAAATCACAAAACAAAAAGCCAATGAATGTCCTTGAACGTTCAGACTGTGATAATCTTGAAGAGCCTCTGAGCATTTCTGGGATTACCCTAATCTTATATTCATCAGATATCGATTTGCTCTCGCTAAAAACAAAAAATTAGTTCATCACTTGATTACCTTGAAACAAGAAAGGGTGTGAAATCAGTGGCTTGAATAATGAGGGACAAGTTTCCTCAATCTGAAGTCGTGTTGTATCATCGTGCGCGTAGTCAACCTGGTCCCACGAAAGCCGGAACCCTTCATCTCCTCCCTCCGTTTGGAGGTGGGAGCGATAACACTGCAACTCCACGCATCTCGTAATCTTCCATCATCTGAAACAGTGTTCAGAAACCGTGTAGATCTCGCGATTCCGTGTTCTCTGAGCTTCTTCTACGCCTTGTTTAGTGTCACATCCGAACCCTTCCCAAGGATTGCACCGTCACTGTCTTTGGGATCCTCACTTTTAGGCTTTGGGCAATCAAATAAACTTTTCTCCTTCTTGAACCTCGAGTTTCTCACTTACACGACATCCATTTCCGTATTCCTTGCATTCGCTACTTCAGGATGGCAAGCTTCTTGTATGTAGATCTTGTGGGAAATTGAGTCATCTGGGATTCGCACCTCTGGCCAGCGCATGTCTGTGGCTTTCTTCGGCCTAACAACTCGCTGAACTTCATCGTTCGAGAAGCATTTATTCTTTGTCTCTTCTAGACTCCTCCAACGTCCCCCTTCTTCACCGTAGGATGACATTCACATTCGGGGTTTGAAGAGCTAATCCCAGTTTCCTCCCGTTTGAGGCCTTCGTTTTTAGCTTACCATTAAGGCAGCTTTCACCACAGTATCTTCCTTTCCACTCTTGTCCTTTATTTCATGGGAAGCTCGATGGCATGCCAAGAATCCTATACAATTTTGATAGACGATTTCTCACAAGCCTACTTTCTGTTTGTCTCCTACCTCTGCTGTGAGTTGCCATCCGAGTATCCCTTTATGGGGAAAGCTGCTGTCGACCGTTAGGTCGGGGGCTGCGATCAGACTGGAGAACCTCTCTCGTCAAAAGTAGGAAAAAAAAAAGGCAGATGATGGCGAAGCACTATTGCTTATTCTATTAGTGAAGTCTGCTGAGGAGTTTTGTATGCAGTGGAAGGAGGACATGGATCTACCTTTAGTATGAAGAGGCTGAAAGTGGCAATCAAGAACGATAGCTTTGAATGCAGCTACTTTCACACCTATCCTGCTTATATAATGGGCTAAGTGTGTCTGTTGGTGTGTTTGTGTGTCAGTATGTGTGTGTGTCAGTATGTGCGTGTTTGTCCGACCGGAAATTCATAACTCCGGTCCCATTGTAGCTAAAACATTCAAATTTGAAAGAGAGGTAGGCGGCACGATGTGAACAGCGATCGTAGGTCATTGGAAGTGACAACTATCGATAGAAACTGATAACAGCTGATAA